TCCCTCCCCGCTGGCCCTCCCCCCGGAACCTTGGAGCCCCGGATTCTCAGGACTTGCAGATGGGGATGAGGGAGCTGTATCATCCGGGACCCCGAGCATCGGTGCGCGCCCTCCACCCGAGTCCCTTCCTCCAGGCACCTGTCCCCTCTCCAACCTCCCTCCCCAGACGGCTCGCGCAGGTGTTGCCCGTGCTTTGTGAATCCCAGCGCCAAGCGCGTATCAGGGCACCGGCCCGCCACCTGGCAGGCAGGACTTGCAGATGGGGATGAGGGAGCTGTATCATCCGGGACCCCGAGCATCGGTGCGCGCCCTCCACCCGAGTCCCTTCCTCCAGGCACCTGTCCCCTCTCCAACCTCCCTCCCCAGACGGCTCGCGCAGGTGTTGCCCGTGCTTTGTGAATCCCAGCGCCAAGCGCGTATCAGGGCACCGGCCCGCCACCTGGCAGGTGCTCCCCAGACAATAAAAGACAGCCGCCAGCCCCTCCTGCAAGCTCGGGAGGGTGGAGGCTGGACCCGGCTGGTGGAGGTGATGCTGGAGGGACGGGATTAGGGAATCCAGGGGATTTTAGGAAATTGGGTCCCCGACATTCTTTTCCATTCCTGTGTGGAGGGAGGAGGGGGAACCCGGCTTGGCACCCTCATCGCAGTAAAAGGTTGGGCCCACGTTTAAGTAATTCTTCAAGCTCGGTCTCTCCACCTGTTCCGAAACCTGTAAGAACACAGTTGATTTCTATTGGCCAGCGTGGCCCTCCGCCCAAACAAGCTCCGGCTGAGACTTCTCTAAAATACTCTGGGTGGAGGACTAGGGAGGGGCGCCCTGTGAAGTTTGCTCTGGAAAGTTGTGTTTTTAAAACCCATTTGCGTTTGGGCGCCTTTTCTCTTGTTTTCCTTCCCTTTCCCTTCTCTCTCCCCTCCCTCTCCCCCCTCCCTTCCCCCTCCTCTCCCTCTCTGTTTCTGTATGGTTTCTGCTTTCTCTGCCTCTGTATCGAAGGATTAAGTAGCTGAGGAGCTTTGCATCCCTTTTGGCTGCCTATCCCAGATGCAATATAAAAGTAAAAAACTCTCATAAGACAATATACTACCTAAGAGCACTTTCCATCACCGTGGTTACCCTTTGGGAGGGAGATAACAACTGTAGAGTTTTTATAGTTCTTCTAAACCCTATTATTCAAGCTCACAATTATGCTTTGTGAAGTAGGGAGAGTAAATATGTTTATTATTTTAGCTCCTAAAGTGGCCCAAGATCACAGAGCTAATAGCATGGAGTCCCAAAGTTTGTGGCTTCATTTTAAGACTTCCTTCGGTTATAATTAACTTTCCCTATGTATTCTTTGTTATTATTTACATTTATGGGGGGGGGGGGGCATGCCACAGCACATGTGTAGGTCAGAGAACAGCTTGCAGGAATTGGTTCTCTCCTTACACAATGTGGGTCCGTGAGATCAAACTCAGGTCTTCTGGCTCAGGTCTTACACACTGAGCCATCACACTGACATTCTGATAAATCAGTAAAACGTCCCTCCAAAAAGCTTTAAGAATGTAAAATAGGGCCAGCAAGATGGCTCAGCAGGTAAAGGCACTTGCAGCCAAGCCTGAGGACAGGAATTTGATACCTGGTATCCACATGGTGGAAGGAGAGATCCAACTCCCTCAAGTTGTTTTCTAACCTGCACATACAGTGTGCAAATGCACTCACACACACACACAGTAAATAAGTACATGCAAAAACTTTTTTTAAAAAATTGGAAAATTAAAGGGAGATACTCGGGGGCGGGAGGAAGGAATAATTTAAATACACTTGGCATGTTTAGGCATCATCTATAGCTCTCTGGCTCCATTTAATATTGAAGCCATCCTGCTGGATATTGACAGGACCTATGTTGGCTTAAGAAAAATAATTTTAAAACCTGATCCCTTAAAACTTATGTGTACTATCAAGTTCCAGGCCAGCTGGGGCTACAGAGAGACCCTGTCTCAAAAAGACCAAAAAAAAAAAAAAAACAAAAACAAACCCAAACTTATCTGTACTAAGCTGGCCTGGTGGTATATGCCTTTAATCCCAGCACTCCAGCAACAGCAGCAGAGACCAAACAAGACTACATAGTGAGACCGTCTCAAAAACAAATGAAACAACTTAGTACTAGATGATCGAATGGTCACTATATGTAATTGCCTCTCGTACTTCCCCGTTTGTTCATTCAAAAAGCATTTTAAACTTTCTACTGTGCAAAGAGGAGGGGGAACCAGGCACTGTTGTTAGTAGATGTGGGTGGGCCTTACTTTCACAGTCCTCAGAGTCAGGTGTGGAAACCCATGCTCCAATTTCCTAGTAAATGATTCAAGTCACACAGTTATGGGGGGCAGCAGGCCACACTTTTCTCTTAGGATGACAGAGGTAAGAGATACCACTCAAAGCAATCATAAGTTTCTGGGATCTTGATTTATTTCTAAAATCCATTTTGTGGCAAGGAAAAAAATTCACTATGTGTTATAATATCAACATTATGCCTGAGAGACAAAAATTACAATTTTCTTCTTCAATCAACTGATATTGGAGAGGAGAGCTTCTTCAGAAGTGTGAGCGAAAAGAGACCATATTGCAATTTAATTCCAGGCAAGAAATTTCTATCAGGGAGAAAAAAAAAAAACGAGAATGGGGAATTATACAATACTAAACTGCCATTCTTATTTATCATCCAACAAATATTTACTGAACACCTAGGACTCAGGTAGGCACCAAGACCTATACACAAATAAGACAAAGATCCTTGCCTAGAGGAATTCACAGTGCATCAGGAAAAACAGCCACTCAAATAAGAAACTATAACATCTACAAACAAAGCTCATGTTCAACCGTTCATAGCAAAAAGGCCATATTGAGTGGGAGAATATTGAAATCCTTCTCTACTGATTTTCAAAAAGACATCTCCTAAACATCCTAAGTGCCTGCACACATCCACTTCTACCGGTTCCTGAGACACCTCATATCTCCTTAGATTCAGCAATTACAGGTTGAATACTGAGCACAGCAGAGAGCCTCCAATACCTGTGCTTTTAGGGTTGTTAGCTATTTTCAATAATACCCCCTGCCTGGTTTGTACTGCCAGAAGACACATGTAAGGTGCTATTAGTACAGTGCTATGGGAATAAACCACGTTACAGATGAGCAGTGTCCAACTAAACATTTGCAAAGACGGAACTATTTTATTTCTCAGGGAGGATAGATGAGTCAGTTAAATACTACATGTATTTTATGATAGCTCTGGACTCTGTCATACTTGTGTTTTATATATTTCACAGTTTTTTCATCATTATTTTAGTGAAGACTCTTGACTACAACTTGTGGGAACACATTTCATACTAAAACAAGCAAAGAAACCTAGAATTTATTGGTGCTTATACCTGAAAGATTCAAGGTTGATCACATTTAAGACTTTCATGTATCCAAGAACTCAAAGTTGGCCCCGTGCGCTTCCTCTTCCTGTAAGTGGGCTGAGGTGACCTGTGAAAATGGTTTGCTACTCTCTTGATCCTACAAAATCATGCAAATCAAGAGTTTCCAATCTTAAGTTTCACTTTAAGAACATCTGTGAAACTTCCCAGGCTATCAAGGATATGCATATCCGAAAAGCCACCATCTGAAAGACATCATTTTAAAGAAGTAATGTGCGTGATTCGGGTGGTATGATGGTGAACTCAGTAGGTGTGCCCAAGCTAAACACTGGGGCTGGACACACGGTCTGTGGCCTAAAAAGAGTGCTGATATTTTGCTGCACAGCTTAAAAATGCAGAAAGTAATGCTGAACCTAAGGATTTAGATGTAGAATCGCTGGTCATTGAGCATATCCAGGTGAACAAATCATCCAAGATGCACTGCAGAACTTAGAGAACTCATGATCAAATTAACCCATACATGAGCTCCCCTGCCACATCAAAGCAATCCTCATGGAAAAGGAATGAACTGGAGAGAAGGTTGCACAGAAGGTAACGATATTCCAGAAGAAACTGAAGAAATAAAAACTTATGACACGAGAATAAATTGAGCATAAAATAAATGCAGATAAAAGTTTAAAAAAAGAAAAAGAACTCAAAGGATGGTGGTGGTGGCGGTGTGTGTATGTGTGTTGGCTACACATGCATTTCCCCCCTCTACCTTCCTCCTGTGTTGTTCTTCTGGCCCTGTGTGCACACAGGCAGCTCTGAAGTTACAGCTTTTTTTAGTGTTTTGGCTGCATATATGTAAGTGCCCCATGTGTGTGCAATGCCTACAAATGCCAGAAGAGGGTTTTGGATCCTCCTGGAACTGGAGTTGCAGGTGGCAGCTGCCAGGTGGGTGCTGGGAACCCAACCCAGGTCTCTGCAAGAGCAGTCAGTGCTCTTAACAGCTGAGCCACCTCTCCAGCCCTGACTTATAGCTCCGTACTGCTAATGTAGGCACAGCTTTTGTGCCCCACCAGCATCTCCTCTGAAAGTATGGAGACTGAGTCTCACTGGCCTGCCATAAGTCACATGCTCATCCAGACCACTTTCTGAAGCCCGGAGATGGAAGATGATGATTGGCCAGATCCATAGCACATGACCAAAGAACTGAGATCTGTTTTGTTGTTCTTTCTCTATTTTAGACAGTCTCATAAAGTTCAGACTGGCCTCAAACTTGCTGTGCACCTGAGGATGGTTTTGAACTCCTGAGCCTCCTGCCTCTGCCTACCAAGTATTGAGATTGCAGCTTTAAAAATATATATTTCTAGGCCGGGCATGGTGGCACACGCCTTTACTCCCAGCATTCAGGAGGCAGAGGCAGGCAGATCTCTGTGAGTTCAAGGCCAGCCTAGTCTACATAGTGAGTTCCAGACAGCTGAGG